AAACAAATCAATTTTGGAGATGAAAAACGGCAGGAATTAAGTTCAATACCTAATAGATTAAATATCTTTCCTGTTATTATATTGTTAAATGCGAAATATATTTATTTATATATAAATTATAATTATTATCAGCATATGTGATTTGGTAGGTATTAGATCATTCTTTAAGAGGCCTGCGTGAGGATCGACGATCTCGAATTTGGGATCCGGCCACGCTTTGTACACAAGATTTCTGGGGTAGACCAGCAGGAGTGGCGGATAATCCAGAGTGCGTCGGACTGAGTATTCCCAGACGTATAATTCTATCAAAATCATTATCAACATCGTCTCAACGATATTCAAGAAACACGAGATACATGTGGAATGGAAGTGTGCTAATAAAACTTATTGTTTATCTCTAGACTATTTAAGGTAAATGTACAATTATTATCAGAAATCTGTATTTGCTGTGCTCTTAAAAATATTGTCAATATTTTTGCTACTATTAAACAAATTTTGTGTGTGTGTGTGTGCGCGCGCGTGTGTGTGTTGTATCATGATTTATTACAAAAAACAAAAAAAAGCAAAGTCAATAAAGTCTTTTTTTACACATTAATTAATTAGATAACAGATTTTATAGAATTTATTGAATACAATTCAGATCCGATTTAACAGTCGCTTAAAAAAATATGCATACTTAATATTATTTTAAGTTAGCAAATTAATTGAGACATTATTGGGAGGATCAGGTACATTTAAATAAATGCATAACTAAAGTCAAAATTCTCCTGCAAATAAAACTTTCTAATTTAGTTCTAGCTAACACCAATATTATACTGATTACATTTTTTTATATGCGTCTTTCGTGATGAATAATACATTCGTAGCGGTAAAATTTTCTAAAGTTGTGCATAAAATAAAATGTCATTGTACAATTTTCTTAATTAAATTTATAACTTCTTTTTAATTATGAGATGAAGTAATAAATAAAATTTGTATTAAGAGCCCCGTAAAATAGCTGCAAAGAAATACGATTGCGTCCTGTCGCGGAAGAACTTCGGTTAAAACAATATAGGTAAATTTATTAACATAATTTCTTATTAAATATTTAATTAGTATTATAAATAAATTTTATAATACGCATTTGAAAACAAGAAAATAAAGTATAATTTCATCTGTTACAAATTCTGGCGGCGCCTATGCATCAAGTTGTATCCGTTAAAATTAGCTTTCCATCGTGTTGCGTACAGGCATTTGACCCGAAAGGTAAATCCGCGGGATTTGTTGTAATCGATAATCATATGCCTCACGATCCATCACTTTCCAAACATTTTGTTTAGCGGCATCTAGCAATGCCCTGTACAGAGAAACCGGAAGCTGAACGTTGTTGTTCGTCACTTCGAAGTCCGATAAATCTCGCAGAGTGGAAGGTCCTTTCTTCTTCATTCTCCTTTCTTCCGAAACAAATCTGCCACATCCTGCGAGGTATCAAAAATAATTTATTGATTACTACACTAAGAAAAAATATAATCAATTTTAATAAATATTTAGTTGAATACTGCTAATAAATATTGATTAAATATAGATATATTTATTTGATACAAGAGTCATTAATTTTATTTAACAATAATTTTTTTTTATTAAACAAATATTTATTTACTGTATAAGTAAATGTTTAGTTGGCAGTATTGAACTAAATATTTATTAAAATTAACTGTATTCTTTTCTCAGTGTAAAATATCAAAATTTAAAAATATATGCTATCTTGTGATCTATTTCACACATCTAAACATTTTTATGAACAAAAATAATTTATTTTAGTTTTAAAAAAATATTTAAAATCATTTGTAGAGAGTATTGTTGATTGTTATAATAGAAGTAAAAATTATTTCTTACCCGTGAAAGCATTGCAAAATGGTCTCTTTGACTTGATTGTTTTTTCAGCGTTTAGGGCATTTAGAAGCTGCCGTTCGAACTGTAAAAGTGAATTCTACCCGCCCATTTCCCCCATTAGAATTATTTTTATCTTTTCAAATTGTGTGGAAGATTGATATTTAATTGTTTGATATTAAAGTTTGATATTTAATTTGCGCAAACGATAATTCTTTTACTGTTAATCTTTATATAAACATATCATACATTATAAATTTTTCTGTCATTCAATAATTAATTAAAGGAACAAGCAGTCTTTAACAAATAAATATTGCAACAGTTTATAAATCTGCAGATAATTTAACAGACAATTCTACTGATAGTTCTACAGTTAATTTAACACACATTTAACTCTCTGATGCTCGCTCTGATGCAAATAAAACTATTTATTGAAATATAGATTTTTACCTTGTCTCTCGAAATTTCAGTATTTGCCATCTTCAATAAGCACATGCAAACCAGAGTACAGCAAAGATATTTGGTAATCTGCGTAACGTAACAAGGTATTAATTACAGACGAAACAAAAGGTATTAACGCGTAAAGCTGTTTCGATATTTTTCGTAAAAACACTGTGAATGTATGTACTAAAAATAACAATTCACACACAAACACACACACACACCCTCACATATATACACACACACATACACATACACGATGTACACCCTGAATGAACGATTGACGACAAATGTCCGCGTTACATAAGCATCAGAATTCATAAATTCTATCCCTAAGCTGCTTAACATCAAAGATTAATGTTATAATAATGGTTAATTAACTATTAGCTAAGTTGTTACTTGAAACGCCATACAAAATGCATTCAATTCGGTTTAATTAACTCAACGGAGATAATCGATAACGATTTCGCATGTATTAACATTTTTTTAAATGTAATATGCATAGCAGAAAATTAAAATTGGTTGGCATAAAATAAAAATCAAAAATAAGACTTACGTCATCGTTTCTGGTATTTAATATGCAGCTGTTCTTGTAAAAACGATCGCGTTAGCATTTGTTATTTTACTGACAATTATGAGAGCACGGGTATCCATACGTCAAACATTTTTTATTATCATACAATATTTTCGTAATATGCATTTAATTCCAATATTTGCATATTTTTTAAATTAAGAGTGATTTTTGTAAGTTTATTAGACAAAGTTTATGTACCGTTGTGTTATTTTTCACATTTTAATATTAAACGTATTACTAGATGAATCTAAAATTAAATTTTAAAATATAATTTTTCAAATTATATAAAAAATAAAGTTTGATACATATCTTAGAATAATATTATAATATATAATAATTTATAAAACATATTAAATATTTAATTCACATTTCTAACTTTTATGTTATGACATTATTACCAGTATTAATAATTATCTGCTAGATTTATAATGTTTGATCAGCTCATTATTAACATTTAAATTTACTTACATTATTTATTTATTTTACATTTATTTATTATAGTTTTTAAATTTAGTAATTAAAATAAATTTATAAGCATTTCATTTATATATTATTAATATATTATACATTAGTATATGAAGCATTTCATTCATATATTATTATACTATATTATCAGTAATATTATGCTTATTATCAATACTCTTAATGTTATAAGTATTTTAAATTTTAACATACACATATGCTATCACAAAAGAATTACAATATGCAAATTTAAAAGGGTTCCAATACCCAATAAATTCCAATAAGTTATACTTCATAAATGCATGATTTAAATCATACACACAGCATTCAATAAAACGGTTTTTAATAAAACAATTTTTTTAATTACTTATTTTATGACAAAAGAAGAAGATTCTACTATGTGCACATAAAAAAATACTTCACAATGCTTTTATAAATCAACATAAGTATGTGTTAAATTTACGGTGTTTATCTTAAAGTACACGGAGAGAATTTTTTCTTAGAATTTACCCTGAAAATATGATAATCGTGGAATAACACTGTATTTCGAAGAATTTTAATGTAAATCTTTCTCATTCATTAATAAAACTACAATAAAGTATAAAATAAGTTCGATCAATTTTATTGAAGTGCATAGTAAAAATTTTTTAAATATTATGTATTGTACCACAACTATCATATTTTCAGGGTAAATTTTAAAAGAAAATTCTCTCCGTGTATTTTTAAGAAAACATATGTATCAAAAGTATAGCGTTACAATTTCAGAAGTAGAACTGCATATTAGATAAAATCAATTTCGACCACTGTCTTTGTTGTCACGTGTATACGTTTAAGTTTGAAATCAACCTAATTTCTATCTATTTCATAAAATTGTTACGTAAAAATTAAGTACACGACCAACCTTCATATCGTGATCTTTTCGAGCAGTTTGTAGGATTCCGATTTCTTCAAGATGCACCTCTTCAAGACAATGTTACGTTCTCGATCAACTGTCGATACGGGATACGCGATTCGTGTGCCAAAGGATAGTCGCGCGCGGTTGAAACCGTGGCTTCTCCCTCTCGTTTGAGGGGTGAAATCGCGCGGTCGCTCTTCAAATACAATCCCCGCCAATCCCCTCTGTGATAAGTATCACGGGGTGGATGCAAGCGCATGGAGAACGCATGACCGCAAGGGCGCGGACGAGAGACGATCATATTTTACACTTCAAAAAACCTTTCCTCACATGTCCCCTGGACTTACGATTTCGTATTACACATCCGGTTTAACCTTTCTGAGACAATTCTTTTTTCTCATCGTTAAATTTTGCAAACATGACATACTCTGCGTGGACACGCGAAGATTTTTATTTGGTTTCACTTTTAATAAAAAGATAAGAGATAAATAAATACGTAATTTATTAATAACCAGAAAAATATAATTTAATAATAGTAGGCCAAAATATCAAGTGTACATAAGGAAATATTATATTGCAGTAAAAGATTATAATAATTTTACATATCGTAAACAAAACAGGTTCCGACTTTACTCACGATCTTCATTAGCCGCTGTTATCAGAGAACTATAATTATTGTAAAAATAACTAATTTCAGAAATGATTCACATTAAATCTTAAACTAATGACATTAATTTAAATAATGACATTGTCGCTATGTTAGATAATTCTTATTTAAATTTAATCAAGAGAATCTCTAACAATGATTTTTATTGATATTTGTGTGATCTATAATGTCTATTTTACACTGTTTTGTCCTGTACGTGTCTTCTCGTTTCTATTTGAGACTTTCAGTTTGACAATAGCGATGTACTTGTAAAGTTTGAATTTTATTACGTTGATCGTTGGATATTGATTGTTAGTTTTTCGATTCTTTTTCTTATATCAATTTGTTCATTAGAGTGTTTATTTTATTTATAGCGTTTGCGTTCATGGGAATTTTTTAATAATCATTTACTCGTGCAATTAATAAGAAGTTCAACATAAAAAATTATGGACAGAGAAGAGGACTAAAGATTTTAGATATTATATTTACCACCGTAAAATTGGTGTCCATGATTATTATGTTATAGATCATAATTGATTAATCTCTGACTTTCTAACATTTGACTACGGTGCATACATAGCAGCTTATAATGACTGTGTGTTAAGTCAAAATTTATTCTGCTTACAATACGTAATATTATAACTTTTTGCTGTATTATAATACATCATATACTATACGCTCGGTTTTGGACTATTATTAAATTATATTATTAAATTATATTTTTCTGGACATTTAATATGGCAAACTATTTTTTTTTCTTTTTATTAATACATTGTATCAAAAATAATTTTAAAATTATCATAATATAACTCGCTCTCTCTCTCTCTCTCTCTCTCTCTCTCTCTCTCTCTCTCTCTTTCATACATATTTTTTATGATTGCATTGCGTGTTTCGTTGCTTACACATTTTTACACGTGAAAGGGAGAGTGACAGGATTTAGATTTTCCGTAAGAAGATTTAAACGGCAAATTCATAAATTAAATTAAATCTTAAGTCATTTAATTGTTAGTCATCATGTTCTTGTCTAAAATATTTTTTAAATATACTTTCTCACATGTGTAAACAAAATTATAACAAGCAATGAAATTTATTTCTGGAGGATATTAAGTTGTTTCTTCGTCAAGAAATGCGTTTGTATAAACGCTCCAACTTTAACATAACTGTCCACTAATAGATTATAGTCGTACTACGATTCCGTGACTGTTGGCGGAATATGCATCTTATGCAGGTTTAATAACTCATGTTACCCCTTAAGATCCACGGATCATAAGTTGTCATAGGTCACAGGATTTAACGGTGAGATCTGAATGGCATATTGACGTAACAACGCATCCCTAGTTTATTGCGTTCCGCTCGTGAGAGAATTTTCGTTCTCACACTTCGTTACAATATTGTGCTAACTGGTTACAGATTTAAAACTGATTCAATATGCGATATTTTCAAATCTGTTGCAATACTATGACGATTTAATTGATATGTTTTTACGTAAAAATTGTAGTGTAGTTCGTAACAATTTTTATTACACTTCGAAAGCATCATGTACGCACGAAATAAAAATTCACATGTATACCTATAAATCGTCGAGATCAATACGTGGGAAGGAAATATCTATTTAAAAAAATATTCTCTAATTTCGATTATTATTTCAAAGTCGCATTGCTCCACACAAAGTTCTATATTGTCGAGAAATTGTTCTACCTAAAATTATTTTCTACCTTCGATTTAGTCAACATTTAATCATCATTTAATTTCTATGCTTTGCACAAAATTTGTATTAATACAAGTATAAAATTTTAATCAAATCAATATCGTGCCTATTCTGACAATATATTGTAACGCAGATAACATATTGAGTTTTCTAAGCATAAATTTAGATACAATTATAGCGTTAATTTTTAATCTTATAATTAAATGTGTTTTATTCAGATAAATTTGAACAATTACCATACGAAATTGTGCAAACAAAACATTTCGCAAACAGTCGTAAGTGCAAAGATAAAAGATACATTTGATATGCAATAGTATGACAAACAATAAAAACAAATGCTTCGTTTTTTAATGGTATGCGTGAAAGATATAAGATAACGTAAATTATACCTGCTTCTAGCGCTCCACGTGGACATTATTTATCGCGCACTTACACACAACAAACGAGAGTTTGAACTATGCAAAGAGAAGTCGAAAGGTATCGAAGCTATTTTGGTAAGGATTAATGTCGATTAAATCGATGCCAGAAAACGAAGTATAGCGGGTTGGCCGTTAAGAGTCTCTGTGTAAAAATCATAGAAAGAAACACAGTCGGAGTTAAGTACTTACACCATTCTCACATCAGAACCCGCTGCGTTACGATTAAGTCATTCAGCCTGGTTGGCTAGTGGTTGGTCACATTTTTCTTCTCTCTTTTCCTTTTGTTTAATACATTCACCGCCAACAAAATTTTCAATAAAATTATCAAAAAAATTAATGCATTTGAAAAAAATACAATTATTTATGTATTTTTGTAACATAAAAAACCTACAACATTTCAAACAAAGGTGCTGAAATCTTTTACAGGAGCTGATAAAATAACAAAAAAATTTATTTTCTGATTCTATAATGATTTCTAATAAGGCAATTTTTTAGGAATGTTTTGCCACTTATTGGATTAAAAAATGTTGGCAATTACGATTTTAATAACTAAAAAATTAATTAGTAATTATATAACGTTTTATTGTATACATATTATTGTATACATATTATAAATAATTATATTAAGATTACATCGTTTGTAAATTTGCACAAAGCAAGATAAAAAGAATATTGGTCCAAATCGAGCAATATAATATATATGTTTAAAAAGAGATATTATTAAAATTTATTCGCAATTTATACGTAAAAAGTAAAAGAAGTAAACAATCGAATTTTTTGCATTTGTTTGCGCCTCCCCCCTCCCCCCAAGTAAAATTTATTATATCTCTACTTAATATATTGATTGTAGATATATTTAAAAAAAGCCTCTTTTTTACTATTGTATAAAACAACTATCTTGAGAGTTGCCTCTTTCGAATTTTTATAAATGTAACCGAATAATTAAGAGATAATAAAAAGATATATTAATAAATATATTTTTTAATTCTAGATTATCAAAAAACACTTCTGCCATCGAAAGATGAGTATATAATTATTGTGATTAAACGCCCCGAATGATAAACGATGTGATAAAATCACCAGTGTATTTAAATGAAGACGTCTTTTAATTTTACGACAGATATAAACGCTATTAAATTAACGTCGTGAGATAGTAAATCAGTGCTTATAGCGACTGAATGATAGTTATGAATAAGATACTTATGAATAAGAGATGCGTCTTATGCAAAATAACTATACATATAGTTGTCTCTTTCACATAGATGTCTATACATATGAAAAGCAACGTACGTATATAACCGTTTCTCTCATAAAAGAAAATATTATAGGTACGTTTATAGCAGTCCAGAATTTATATATGAAAATTTCATACTTGATTTTCAAAAGTGTTTGTTGTTGATAATAGACAGTTGGTTAAATAAGTCTTTATCTATTTATAATTTTCTTTAAATAAGAATAAAACATAATACTTTAATACGTATTATACATTAACATGTAAAATATTTAATACGTATTATACATTAACATTAAAAAATTTAGGATACTCGCTTTCTTAGCTGTCATACTAAAAAATGATAATATGAATAAAAATTCTAGAATTTTAGTAGTATATTGCTGATTTTAAAAATAAATAATTAATCTTTTATAGAATTATTAATTTTTTTCAATTTTGAGACACAAACAGAACTCATATTATCCATTATATATGTATATTTATTATAAATTATTAAATTTTTAATGTGTTTTATTAATAAATGTCATTATATGTATATTTATCCAATATTAATTATTACATTCCAAAATGTACAATATATATATCATACATGTTATAAAAAATTCGATGTAATTGGTCGGCCATTTTATGCATAATGTCCGAATTAATAAAATTTTCCATAACACATACACACATACACACACAAAATTTCAATTGGGTGCGATACAGTACAATATTTACCCATACCTCTCTCAATCGCCCGGATAGCTCAGTCGGTAGAGCATCAGACTTTTAATCTGAGGGTCCAGGGTTCGAGTCCCTGTTCGGGCGAATATTTTTTTGCAATACGAAATGAAATCTTTTAATCATACAAATTAATATATTAACAATAATTAAACAAATACAAAATTACATTAAAATTTTTTCTAAATTTATAATTTTTTTTATTGTATAAATTTAAATTAAACATAGTTGATGTACTTTTGATTCTTTTTTCAATATTAGTATTTAAAAAATAGTATATACATAAATAATATTATTTAAAATAATATAACATTTAAATAAATTTGTTTGTGTGTGGTTATTATTTATACAACTTAGTTATTCTCTTCTTTATTTATAACAAAT